CGAGTCGTGTGACTAGTGACTCTCTGAAAATCTGGTTAATGTTTATTTATAATTTTATACTTTGTGATTCATTTTAAATTACAAATTAAAGTATATTACTTTGTTTAATTGTTTCAATTTTTGGATCGTATACTTTTAGGGACAAATCACCAGAGCCAGCATAATCAGGGTGCCTGGACAGATGTTGAGTTTTTTCGGACGCTTGCCAAAGAGGTTGAAGCGAGCGATCCTGCGACGATGCGGTACTGCAATAACCTACTTTACGGTCAGCTCTACCCGGACCAACAAGCATATGGAGAACCGGAGGTTAAGAAAAATACGCGAGGTCGTCCCAAAAAAACTCATTCTACTAAGCGTGAAGCATCGCGATGGGAGTATGGGGATAATTCTCAAGGTCGTACAAGCAATTCTTCGCGTGGACGCACATCTTCGCGTGGACGCACTTCTTCGCGTGGACGCACTTCTTCGTGTGGACCGAGAACCAGCCAATCTTCTGAACCGTCACAAGAGGCACACCAAGGTGACATTTATTTTTTATAAAGTTGAACGTTAATTAAAATGTTAATTTACAAAATTATATTATTTTATTGTGACGTGAAATTATTATGATGTTCCAGCTGGTACCGAGACAGATATATTTAGCTTTAAGTACAGCAGCAATGTTCCCTGGCATATGTTGGACTACATAGTGAGCTACTTGAATGTGAAAGCAGATGGGAACTGCGGATGGCGGGTCATCGCGAGTTACATTTACGGGGACCAAGAGATGTGGCAACTCGTACGAGAGAACGCTGCCAATGAGATTTACAGCCACCGTGCCTTGTACGAGTACATCTATTACAGGGATATCGACACGGCACTCGTTCGGATAAGGTGGGACTGGGGCGCTTTTTATTATTATTATTATTATTTTGCTAATATTTATATTTTATATTTATTTTTCTTTTATATTATAATTATTATTATTCAAATGCTAATATTTTAATTTTATAAGGTGGGACGGTGGCGCTTGTGGCACGGGTCACTGGATGGACACTCCAAGCGACCTCTACCCTGTTGCAACCCTATTTAATGTGGTTGTTGTTCTTTTAAGCTCTGGTCGCAATGGTCGTATGTCCAACCAGTTCAGCTGCACAGTATTGCCGCTCGCTGCAGCATCAACGAGCACAGGGCCACGCCGTGAGATTTGCATATGTCATCTTGGTAGCTACGAACACTACATTCGGTTAGATTTGACTCCGGATTGTCCATTACCGCCTATTCATAGTATGTGGTTCAGACATCGAACCTCTTCGGTGGAGAATTGGGAGAATCAGTACCAGTCTAGGTTGCAATTATGGTTTGATGCTCAAAATAACCCCTGATGTATGACATATTTTCTTTCATTCGATGTTCGGTTTTATGTTGTTGGGAACTTTAAAAAGATTATGTTTTTTTTCATTATATGCTTTCATTTTATTCTTGTTTATAAAAAAAAAAAAAAAACATATGTCGCGCGTAGAGTGAGGTCACACGACTCGTGTGCCATGTGAAACGAGTCGTGTGACACTACCACAGCTCGTGTCACTTGACACACGAGTCGTGTGACTCATGAGAAAAATTAGGAATTAACTACGGCCTTGTCACACGACCCGTGTCGCATAGACACACGAGTCGTGTGACCTCACACGACCCGTGTCACCCGGTCGTGTGATGTGTCGTGTGGACCAGAAAGTCTTTCGAAAATTGAATGTTTTTTCACACACCCCGTGTCACCGGGTCACACTAGTCGTGTGGGATGAGAACAATAATGTATGACAAAAAAAAAAAACATCATGTTTGACAAAATTTGTCTGATACGCATAATGTTTGACAAAAAAAGAAAACAAAACATCATAACATCATTACACATTTATTTGGAATTGGCGTAATCCAACTTAAGCTTAGCCAATTCGTCTGATAACTGCGCCGCCTGCAGAGGATCATGAGCTGTTAAACCCCGCAGAGTCCTCGAGGTAAGAGTCAAAGCACGGTCCATCCACTACAAAACAAAAAAATAAGAATAAGAATATATGCTCATTATTTATTAAAATAAAATTTATTCTAATCAAATATTATTAATTAAAAGCTTGCGAATGTCTTACATAGTCGGTGTTCCCACGCGTAGGGACCTCTCTCTCGTCAGGCAGACCCTCACCCAAGACAGTAGGATGAGAAACCCGACGGTACCACAGCAAGTACTCCGGATCGGCCTCCCCTCGATCATCTGTGGCGACCCTACACAAGCTGGTGTTGATAGTTTGCGACATCGGGAACTGGTTCCACATATTTACTGCACCGACATCAGGATGCTCGACTTTGTACAGCCTCGACTGCCAAGCACAGTAATAATTGTTAGTTAATCATTCGCGATTATAAAATTCTAATTAATCGTGTATAAAATTCTAAATAATCATTTATACTACCTGCCAAGTACGGTTTACAGCGGTCGGCGTCTGTATAGGGGGAGGGATGGTCTGGACATACCCCA